GTGAAGCTTTTGTGGGTGAAGCTTTTGTGGTGGGTGAAACTTTTGTGAGTGAAGCTTTTGTTGGTGAAGCTTTTATGGGTGAAGCTATTGTGAGTGAAGCTTTTGTAGGTGAAGCTTTGGAGTTAAAGCTTTTGTTGGGTACTATGAATTGATTTTGCTTCACACTATCTTGATCAAGATAGTGTGAAGCTTTTGAGAATTTGTAGTTGTCCTCCATTGATGAAGCTTTTGTTGGTGAAGCTTTGGAGTTGAAGCTTTTGTTGGGTACTATGAATTGATTTTGCTTCACACTATCTTGATCAAGATAGTGTGAAGCTTTTGAAAATTTGTAGTTGTCCTCTATTGATGAAGATTTTGTTGGTGAAGTTTTGTTGGATACCACGAATTGATTTTGCTTCACACTATCTTGATCAAGATAGTGTGAAGCTTTTGAGAATTTGTAGTTGTCCTTCACTGATGAAGCTTTGTTGAATTTCCCTTCTTTTTTTTTTTTGGGAAACTAGAAATTTAAAAATGTGGGAGAGACAACATATACAAATTTTGCTTCCACACTGTTGAGCAAGAGATTGTGATGCAAGTTACACCTTGTAATAGTCGAAGGTTTGGATGAACCATATAAATTGAATTTGCTTCAAACAGTTTTGAATTTGCTTCGAAGGTTTGAGAATTGTAGTTGTCCTCCATTGATGAAGCTTTTGTTTGCATCATAAATTGGTTTTGTTTTGCACTGTCTTGATCAAGAGTGTGTGAAGTTTTTGAGAATTGTGGTTGAACTCCTTTGATGAAGCTTTTGTTGACACCATAAATTGGCTTTGCTTCACACTGTCTTGATCAAGAGTGTGTGAAGCTTTTGAGAATTGTGGTTGCCCTCCATTGATAAAGCTCTTGTTGACACTATAAATTTGTTTTGCTTCACACTGTCTTGATCAAGAGTGTGTGAAGTTTTTAAGAATTGTGGTTGAACTCCTTTGATGAAGCTCTTGTTAGCACCATAAATTGGTTTTGCTTCATACTGTCTTGATCAAAAGTGTGTTGGTACCATAAATTGGTTTTGCTTCACACTGTCTTGATCAAGAGTGTGTGAAGCTTTTGAGAATTGTGGTTGAACTCTTGTTGACATCATAAATTGGTTTTGCTTCACACTGTCTTGATTAAGAGTGTGAAGCTTTTGAGAATTGTGGTTGAACTCTTTTGATGAAGCTCTTGTTGGCATCATAAATTGGTTTTGCTTCACACTGTCTTAATCAAGAGTGTGTGAAGCTTTCTACGAGTTGTAATGTTTGCATTGTTACAGAGGGGAAATGTCTGAAGCAGATGCAAGAGGGCTGAATAGCTTGATCTTCATATGCCATGCACTGAAATTGTTGTTAGCTTGCAATAAGACTTTGTTGGTGACTATAACTCTTGTTGGGCATAAGTGCTCCCCTAGTTGAGTTGTCAAGCTTGAGGGTTTTTGATTATTTGTGAATGCTAAGAGTTCACATGTACAAGTTGTATCACTCGTCTTCTGGTAGGTGGAATGAATGGTGAGTTGCTTTCATCACTTGGTTGGTGGTACGAAGATGAGTTCCTTCTTCACCTGGTTGGTGCCATGAGTGGCAAGTTACCAGATGATATTAGAGTACGGGTTGTACATTTCATCACCTAGTTGGTGGCATGAAGGAGAGTACAGGTTGTACATTTTATCACCTGGTTTGTGGCATGAAGATGAGTTCCTTCTTCACCTGGTTGGTGGCATGAGTGGCAAGTTGCCAAATGATATTAGAGTACGGGTTGTACATTTCATCACCTGGTTGGTGGCACGAAAATGAGTTCATTCTTCACCTGGTTGGTGACATGAGTGGCAAGTTGCCAAATGATATTAGAGTACGGGTTGTACATTTCATCACCTGGTTGGTGGCATGAAGGAGAGTACGGGTTGTACATTTCATCACCTGGTTGGTGGTATAAAGATGAGTTCCTTCTTCACCTGGTTGGTGGCATGAGTGGCAAGTTGCGAAATGATATTAGAGTACGGGTTGTACATTTCATCACCTGGTTGGTGGCATGAAGATGAGTTCATTTTTCACATTTCATCACCTGGTTAGTGAGAATAAGGGAAAGGTGTCGAGGCACATTGTAGCAAGTGTCGAAAACACAAAGTATGTTGAACCCTTTCGAAGCACAGTTGGCTTATGTATGGATGTGTTGGAATGTATGATCTTTATGTATGAATGTGTTGGAATGTATAATATTTATGTATGAATGTGTTGGAATGTATGATGTTTATGTTGATTGATATGAGTGATGTTTATGAATGTTTTGCTATGCATGAAGGGATCCATGCTTTTGATATGTGAACCATGTTGGTTGTAACACTTAGTATCATATACTTTGTGTCAAAGTATGCATGTTGAAGCTTTGAGTTGGAGTATAGGGTAGGTCAGCGTAAACTAAGTGTTCCAGTGCTAGGAACGCAAAAAACTCAGAAGAAGTTTGAATTCCCTATTCTTTAAATATTTGCCAAATGGCTTATGTGACAAAAGATCTCAAGCGGTTGAGAGTCAAAACATTTGTAATGTGTATGTCTTCTTATAATAGCATTTCCTTCAGTACCTAGTCATCCACTTTGAAAGAGTGAGGCTTGGCCCCATAGTCATAATGGTCGATGGTACGTTCACCCTTGGTTGTCTTAATACGAACTTTTATCCCTCTTGTTGTAATGGTTTGTTGAGAGTAAAAATCCTTCCTCTTACCAAGAGACAGATACGTTTGGTGACTTAGCGAGTAGCTAAATGAGGCAGGAAATGATGCAATGGGTGTCTGAATGGCCAAGATCTCCATACTTGGTAGAACTTGACTTCCACTTCCCACTTGTTGATAGGGGTTAACCATATGGGGGTTCCCTTGGTATGTCCTTATTTCGACGGAGGCGTGGTTGTAAGCCTGTGCCATCACCTCAAAGTAAGTCTTCCAAGTGTTGGCATTGATCATGTACTTGAAGAAACAATCATGTAGGCCTGCCGTGAAGGCCTTGAGGGCGGTCTTGCCATCTGCCTCAACGCAGCGAGAATACTTATGGCTCAAGCGACCAACATACTCTTGTAGTGACTCGTCCGGCTTCTGGAGAATAATGTACAAGTCATCTGTAGAATGCAAGTGATCGGTCTGGAAGATGTGTTGAGAAACAAACAGTTTCCTCAGTTCCTCAAATGAGTCTATTGTCTCAGGTGGAAGAAGGCAATACCAGCTTAGAGCTCCGTCAGAGAGGATGGAGGGGAAGAGAAGACATCGCTATTCGTCGATGTGCATCTGATATGCCATGGTGGACTCAAAGAGGTTAAGGTGTTCAATTGGGTCCTCCCTTCCAGTATATAGTTGTAAACCAAGCTTTTGTTTTATATTCGCTTGAAAGGGGTGTCGAGGATCCTCCTTGTGAGAGAGCCAGGCCTAGGTTGGTTCCAGTCAGGTATCTCAGCCTGACGTTCGGCCTTCAACTTGTTTACTTCTTCAAGGAGCTGTAGGACAAGGGGGTCCTGAGTGAAGCCATGTAGCACTGGAATTTTCTTTCGTAAGTCTTCATCGCCTCTTTGAAGTAGGAAAGTTTGAGCAAGGGCGTGTGGTTTTTTCTTGGACTCACCGTATTGACTTCTAGGGCGAGTATGTCGGAATACCTCAGAGTCCCATGTACCTTTATGTTCCTCTGGGACCTTTTGTTCCTTCCCTAGATTGGTAGCGGGCCTGGGTCGTAAGAGGGGACCGAGTCTTTTAGAAACCCTTGGATCATTGATCTTCGAGCATATGTGGAGAGGATTCTCTCGACGTTGCTTTAGGAAGTCTCAGCAGTCACAATAAACGGCTTTCGATCATTCCAACCCTTCTGGAATGAGGTGTCTTCCTCTACTTCTCCTGCTTTGGGTCGAAGCATCTTGGTTGAGATAAGTCTCATGTTGATCAATGTTTTGATGATTAACTCGCTTCTCATCAGGGATACCCATGTCAAAAGGAGGTGACCCTCCATGTTGGGGGTACCCAGATGATGGTTAATGTCCACAGGGGCAGCGAGCTCACGTGTTTGAGTACACCTAGTTTCGTAGAGCGTCTCATAAAGCTTCTCATACTGCTCCTGGAGAACCTCATTTTTCATTGCTATCTTGTTGTTCTGAGCTTCTAGCTCATCGACTTTAGCTTGAAGAGCAACCATTTTTCCTTCATTCTTTCGTTGTTTCGCACTAGATGCAAGAGGGGTGTCATTCTGTGTGATGTGGCTTCATTCGCTCCCCATGTTGGAGAAGGATGTTTGGTCAAAAGAGTGTACGAATGGTGGAAACCAACTTGGCAAAGCTGAAGAGAGTGAGAATAAGTGTCGTTCCCACAGACGACGCCAAATGTTGATGCACAAAATCAGTGAGGACTTTGGTACAATAGAAAGTGTTAAGTTTGTAACCTTCGCTAGATTGCTCCGGTCACTAGTGTGGATAAGTATGTAAATGGATAGTGACAGGGAAGCAAACACAAGATGTACGTGGTTCACCCAGATTGGCTACATCCACGGAGTAGAGGAATTCTTATTAATTGTGAAGGGTTTACATAAGTACATAGGTTCAAGCTCTCCTTTAGTAAGTACTAGTGAATGATTTAGTATAAATGACATTATGAAATATTATGAAAGAATGATCTCTATTTATAGAAGAGAGTTTCTAGTTTCATTCTGACATTGACACGTGTTGTGTTGTGATTGGCTTCTGATGTTGACACGTGTCGCGCTATGATTGGCTTCTGATGTCGACACATGTCGCGCTGTGATTAGCCTCCTAATTGGAAGTAAACTCTTCTGGGTCCTTGACGGTACAACGTTGACCGGTGCTCAGTAGTTTCGGAATTAGTAGTATGGTACAAATACTTTTAATGGAAGCACTTTTACAGAAGTACTTCAAAGAATAAGTGCTTTTATAAAAATAAATAAATAAAAAAAAACAGTTCCAAACGAGCCCTAATCACATGGGGCAACATGAACCAAAGAACTAATACTTTGATCAACTCCATTTCACAAGAAAATTTGACAAATTATGAGAGATAAAATACCAGACAACAAAAAATTGGAAGATACATAGTTCAAAATTTTGTGCCTAAAAAAAATTACTGAAGTTACAAGCCTGTGCCAACTCTCAAACACACTGAGGAACAAGTAAAGAAAAAACTGTTGTTGTACACTGCCCAACAAGAAAATTACGGCACAACTGCTAACAGAACCACCGCCGGTAAAAAAATATAAAAAAAAAACAGTATAAAAGTTTTACTGACAAGGGAAACGCCAGTCTCCTTCGATCTCTTGCCTTGCTGGATCACGAAAATTTGGACAGCACATGAAACATCATGGTAACTTTGACAATCGTTCTTCAGACTTGAGCTATCTGCTGTTTCAATGTCTGCAACAACTTTAGTTTGGATCCACAGATCCTTACAAACTCAGACAGCACCGTACATTTCCCAGTTATTAGCTTCCGTGCAACATCAGGAGGACTCCAAGACTTCAATGCTCGGGAAATTCTATCACCGACCTCTGTGTCATCTACGGATGAGATATAAGTTTCTAGGATATGGAAAACCTGCCCAGGGCCTTCATTCTGTCCTTTATTCTGCAAAGAGGAGAGTAAAGTGTCTAAACTTTCATCCTCTGGCCTGTTGATCTGTTCTCTTAACCATTTCATAACTTTTTCCAGAGTATTACAGAGAGACTGGACAGAATCCCGCATATGGGACAGACTAGAATGATCCACAACTCCAGTTTTCTTCTTCTTCTTTCCAGACGGATGAGATGACCGAGTACAAGATTGAATTACAAGAGCGTGCCAGGCCAAAGGTTCTGTAACCAACTGAACCAGAACTGGAACATCAACCCAAGGAGAGCTAATTAAAGTCTCCATCGAGCTAACTTTCTCCGAAACATACTTCTCCAACAGCAAATCCACACAGTGCCATGCTCGAGACAGACCTGCATCACCATTTGCTTGCCCAATTTCATGGGAACTCAAGTTCCATGCATTCAGAAACACAGAAAAATTTATCCAGTCAATCAAGTCCGCACCAAAGACCTGCAATAAAAGTTAATTTATCGAGTCAATCAATGTCGTCTGATGCACTGTCAACATATGGGTGCTCTCACCCTTATGCATGTGGGTGTAAATCTTCAAAGGAAGGAGAACATAATGCCAAAATGAGTATAGAATAAACTTGGTGTCGCAATACTACCTCAAATGACTTTAGGCCACTAGAGACCCCCAAAACCACTTCTATAGCATCATTTAGTGTGAATCCCAACATTTTTGCATAGCGCTCAAGCAAACTCTTAAGTTCCGAAGGGACTTTAGAGTCAGATGTTGTTCCATTGGCCTCGAGATTTTCTTTGAGTAAAGTTGAAGCATTCTGTATGGACAAATAAATCATCCGAGGGAGAAGAGACTTCCTCTCAATAACTCTCCTTACATTTGCTTCCCTTTCTTTCACCTAAATTTGGCACAATCAGAAAGAAAAAATATTAAATTACGAAAGGCAAAGAGAAAAACTCAAATAAATAAGTAGGGTGACAGAGTAACTTCATGGAATCAACTTCTCCAAATCACCGTATATAAAATCCATTGCACAAGACAGAATTTCATACCGAGTACTCTTTTGGACAATAGGATACTCCTTCAAAAGGACCTGACCATTGATAAATCTCAAGTCAGTTCTAGAAACTATTATCAGAGGCGAAGACAAGACAAAAAACAAGACCATAGTATCAAGAGCATGAACATATATATTGATAGATACTAATGCCTACTCTTCAAAGATTGAACAAGAATCACGCAATAGAATTAAGATTGGCGAAATAAAAATTGCCCTTAGTTCTGTGAATCCAACACTTAATACATTCCGGTTATGCAATGTATCAACAGGCCAACAATTGTTGCTCATATTTTTTTTTGTAGCAAAGTTGTAATGACTAATAAATAAAGCTGGAGATATGGCCCATGTGATACTGACCTAAAAGATAGTTTCTTTCTGCAGTTGGTGCCCACCATGGACGGGACTGCAAATCTTCATTGAAGGTCAAAGACTTGGATCCAATCTCATTAGAGAGTTCAACAAAGTGAACACCGCATTTCAAGCTCTCAAGAACAGTCTACAAAAAATAAGCACAAACATGTTACCTATCATATGATAAGTACATACATTCAATGAAAAATTGCAAACAAAAGTTACCTCTTCATCATCAATGTTATCTGCATTCTGCTTTAACTGTAGAATGGGTCCTTCAACCTTCGCCACTAGATACTGATTAGATTGTTGCAGTCTTTCTTTAAACTGGACAAATTCAATTACCTGGAATGAAAAATAGTTTATCATAATGAAAAGTCTTGGTTTTGATAAGGCAGTATCCAGAGAGAGAGAGAGAGAGAGAGAGAGAGAGCCTGGAGCCGTGTACCATGTGCTATTGAGGACAAGATAAGGTAGTGAAATAAAGAAATTCATAATGTCAAATATATTACATACTTTTGAGTAATTTCTATGACGATAGGCAAGAAATGTAAGGTCTGCTGATTCTCTTAAGTGGTCATCCATAAACTTGAGATAATCCTTTAGCAGATTATTTAGATCTGCCCATAGGGGAGACACCAACATCTGGGGTAAAATATGGTGTGAAACAGTTTCCATCAAGATATTTTTCACATCCAACGATCTGAACCTAAACAAGAACAAAAAAAGAAGGCGCCGACATAAATTTAGTAAATGTAAAATAAACAATAAAGCCCAGTCATAGCCACTAATCAGCAAGTGATTGGCATGACATAACTGGACCAGCAACGGAATATTCTTCGGCATAACAAGTTCTAAGGTTACATTAATTGTTATTTACCACTCATATGCTAATGAAAGGGCACCTAAGTGAGAATATAAGTGCAGCAATAATATCTTGTACTGCCATACATATCTGCAAAATAAACCAAATTAATAATGTTATATAAGCAGATAGAATAAAGATTTATATGGATACAATAATGCAAAATATTCTCCATGGATACAAAACCATGCACAATTCAATTAACAAGGTAATCAGACCTAAAGCAAAGCATCGTGTTGATTAAGCACATTAAGCATACAGCTAAGAAAATGCATTAAGGCTCCATTTGCTCAACTGGAAACAATATCTTGTACCAACATACATATCAGTACCATAGTGATTAGGATGCTATATGTGACAGAAGATCAAGAAAAGAAGACTATAAATTCGACTTGATGCCATGGTGCACAACATCAAGTTTAAAACAATAATTCCCATAATAAGGATACTAAAAATAACAGGGGATCCTCACTTTCGAATGGTCAAGCCGAATTCCAATACCATAATTGCTTCAAAATAGTAGCCGAAATTCCTTGTACGCCAGAATAACTATACCGAAACCAGTATGAGTATGAGACCAGCCTCAATAAGAGTATATTAATAATAAAAAACTTAACAAACTGAAAATTGGTTTTGGTAAAACAAGCCAAGAAATATATCAAGTCACTACGGAAGAATACATTTGTATATGTATGACATACCTGAATCAACACATTGCATGCCATTGTGAGCAGCTCCTCGCCATGCATACTCTCTTGCGAATCCAAGTCCTTCGAAAGTGGAAGGTTTTGACAATACATCTTCACCATCTGCACAGCAGATCCCTCAAGTTCTGAAGAAAAATGGCTAAAATTAATATTGTATGACTCAAAGGACAGCTTAATAACATGTTTTTATTGTTACACTCATGGTAGACGCAACAAGTACACAAAAACTAAAGAAAAAAAAAAAGACACCAAGCCGACATTCAAGAAGAGCTACATTTGACTTGCCACCAACCAACTGAAAAATAAGTGATGCACACACAGCCTGTGAAGATTAACACTTACTAAAAGCCTCCCACAAACTGCATCCCACTAAGGGAAAAAAAACAAAACTTAAGGGCTTAAGAATACCCTATGGAAAGCCAACACCCTTGCCTACCCTAAATTAACATCAAACATACAACTGCAACTCATCACCCATCCCGTCCTATCTACTGCTTTTCATCTGTTACTGCTCACACAAAAATAAGACTGTTGGATGTGACAAACGGACTTGGTCATATAATATGCAAACCCTACATCCATGCTATTTGCAATCTGGAAAAAAAGTTTGTGAAAAGAACCCTCTACGAAGACTCCCCACATCATAAATCATCCCAAAACTTGGTCTAAGGCTCATGACCAATATCAACGAACGTCAACTTAGAGAAATAATACCACCACTTTCAGTTTCAGATATCACTTATAAGAGATATTCCTTAGGCACATCATAAAATGAAGTTGAAGAAAATCAACAGATACAGATTAAGAGTCGCACCACCCACAGGAAGCTTGAATGTGTTTCCGATCAATTCTTGAAATTTAAAGAGTGTTATTGACTGCCCAAGAACTTTTGTTGGAACAGTTGAAATAGAGTCAGAGCTTTCCTTTAACTTCCCCAGCAGTTCTGCCTTCTTATCAGGGGTTAAAACTTCAAGAAACATCTCGACATCATAAGTGAAGCAGGCCAAGTGACCAAACCTGAGATTGAAAGTAAATCAAACAACCAATTTGAAACTGTAGTTTTATAAATTTGGTTACAATATGCAAAAGTACATATCATTATCAGCAAGTTTACATTTGAAAACAAAATGACTGCAGCTTTATAAATTCTGCCAGGTCATTCAAGTTAATAATTTTTCAGAAGTTAACAAACTTCATCCTTTTAACCACCATAATGAGCAACACAAAGAATACATAAATAGCCCACTCAAATGTGAAAACTATAGAGAAGATGGGAAATTCATGATTACCTTAGAAAGTATTGGACTAGAGACTCCATTAACTTGTCAGCGTCCCCCTTGCCATGTAGGTGCCTCCTCCTTTCAATTTCAATATTTGCCAAGTATGGAAACCTTAAAAAATTATCACCGATGTTTTCTAGTAACTTCTGTACAAATTCCAATGCACTTGACATGCGAGAATCAAACTGCAATCCAATAAGCAAAAATCAAATTCTAAAGAAAAGAATGGCTCTGCTAGAAATATGCAACAGACAAAATATAACACAGAAATAGAAAGTCAAATTAACTAAGGACAAACATGAACCACTCAACTCTCTAATAGCAAAAAAATAAAAAGTTTGTACCACTTCATCTCCCAAGTTTGAAATCTTGCACTCAATGAATTTTGGAGGATGAATTGGATCTGTGTTGGCCAAATTGCACCAATTGCTGTCGTCCTCCAACAAACAACCGAGGTAATGTAGGAAACAATCCCAATCATCAGGACTGCCAGATGAAAGAAACAATACTAATAGTCAAAATCTCTGTAATGAAAATAAAGTGATCCGAATGACAGAAAAGGCACATCAAGGCCCTGAATAAAAATAGGCAATCAATACTTGAAAAACTTATCCTTCAGGATAAGTAAGTTAACTATGCAGATAATGTGCCAAATATCAATAAATACTACTGTGAAATATATATGGAAAAGGCTTTCTTAAAAGAAAATATTGACAAGGTCCTGATCCAGAAGGCATAAAAATCTGGAGAACAAATAAAAGGGAAGGGGTATTGCCTAGCATGTCTTGGATGCAGGTAAGAAGCATCACTAACTTGAATGGAGGGCATCAAAACACCCTCAACTACATGAAATAAAGACAACATCAATATGAAGTTATGAACATATCCCATATAGACCATACGATTAAAGGCAGTCAAGAACAAACTAGTCTTCTTCTGTCTGAAAAAAGTAGCCGCTTTGCATACTAATACTGGAAGATTATTTTCATAATGACAAAAAGTTGTCACAAGCATACCATAATTCTAGGATTTTTTGAAATATGCTGGCAGCAGCAGTGTAGTCACCTGCCCGAGCATGAAGCCTCCCCTGTCAACTTAAAGTCAAAGTGGACAAGTTGATAAGAAAAGCAAACAAGTGGCAAAGAACCATTCAAGCTAGTAAATACAAAAGTTAAAAGTTTTGACCCAAAAAAATAAAAGACTCAAACAAAGTAAAATAATTATATGCAGTCTTATATCCTATATCGAGGCTTTCATTTGTATGCAAATGAGTTATTTCTTTAGAGAAAACTAATTTATTCGTCTATTCATAACTAACCTTATTAAACTAATTCTTAAGGAAAGCAAAACTTGTTTAGCAGTCTAAATTTCACAAGCATTATTTATTATTTCAGAGCAATGTTATCCGTCTGTCTTCCTTGAAAAGAAACAAGGGATAAGGGGAAACAAAATGTGTTTTCCATAGAAGCTTCAACATTAACAAACAATAAGCTAATGAATTGCAAATCCCAGTACTTAAAAACAGCAAAAATAAACTCTAATCCACTCTAATCAGAATAAGATGACTGATACCATTGCAACAAACCAAAGCATGCTTGTGGACGACTTTTTCCAGTACAAATTCATATTCAATTTGAGTTTGATATCTTTTTGTATTTGCACGGAACATGTCTGTTAATTCTACTTTCTTGGATAAATTGAATTCAATAATAGACGAAAGTTGGCAAACAGGTGCACTTTTTCATCTTTTCTACTAATTTGGTATGTGATCTCAACCTCTGAATTCTCAGTGCGTTTTTCTAATCATTTTCAAATTCAATCCTTTTACTTTTTTTTATTTCTTTTTTCTAGTTAAAACTTTTTCTAGTTAAAACTTCTTCCTAAATAAAAGAAAAAAAAATTAACTGACAAAGACACGTGGAAACATCTGTGAGTACATAACATAGACATTTAGATTCAAATCCAAGCAGTAGATTACTAATGGCAAAGCCTCAGGAAATGAAAGCTTTAGAAAGTACCTGTATGCGTAGCTTATCAACTTCAACCATCAAAAGCGATCCTAACTTTCCAGAGAGAATTTCCAGAGCATCCCCATATTTGGCTTGTTGTTCCAATATGGAAACATAGACCATAAGAGCTGAAGCCAAGTACAAACTTTTAGCACATGAATTAGAGGTGTCCACCAACATAAAATTACAATTCGACATAGGCCACGACAAGTAGTGAAAAAAAATGTATACCTTCAGGCTCATGCAAGCTGTGGGAGGCAACATGTTTCTTAATCAAACCTTCCGCTAAAGTTAATAGCTTCTCACTCCCATTGCCACAAAAAACCTAACAAAAATTCGAGCCCCATAACATAAGCAAATGCATAACGTATCTTTCTTTCATGTTTTCCCATTTGGTCAACGAGAATCAACTTTGTATACATGTAATGAGAATTCGAGTATAAAGATTGTAGTTTTAATAGGAAACAAAACAAATTATGCGCCATGTTTGAAAAGGTTTGTCACACTGATAATCCTTTCTACAATACACAAAAAATGGCAAAAAGAAAACCGGTGTTACCTGTAACTGGATGCTACACACTGCCCATAGCAAAAACCTCTCCTCCCCAACAAGCTTGTACATTTTTATAGCTGTCTGATACAAACATATATAATGATAAATTACACAAAAACAAAAGACAACGACGAAGGTAAGAAGAGAAAAAGAAACCTGTTGCTGCTTTACAAACGAGTATTCGCGAACATAGCAGTTGAAGAGGCCCATCATGAGCTCCAAATTGTTGGAAAATTTTCCGCAAGCGTATTCGTAACAGCTCGTAGCCATTTCCACTGGTTTTACAAACAAAACAGATAAGAAATTCGGCAATGTGTGCATTCTGTGTTGCCACAAGAGATTCAAGAAATGTAAAATGTATATATATACTGACAGTGATCGAGCCGTTGGAAGACGATTTGCAAGGTGCTGAGAGTGAGATCGTCCATCAAAACGGAGTCGTTTGAGTGCAGAAGCTCCTTGGCGTTCAGGCAGACCGACAATGCCTCGTCGGATTTCCCCATCCTCTCCAAGACGAGAGCTTTAAGCGCCTGCGAAGTGAAAAAGCGGCCGAGAAAGTTAGCGGATTTACGAAAATATAAAGAGCAAAACGACGTCGGAGAAGAAGAGGGGGGAGCGAGAAATTACCAGGCAGTAGGGCGAATTGGGGTACTTGGAGAGGAGGCCGGTGACAAGCTTGAGAGCGGTCTTGAATTGGCGAGAATCGATGGCGTCCCAAATCGGTCGGACCCGGCGCTCCGGTATGCCACCGGCCAACCCGAACTTGGACGCCATTGGAGGTCTGGCTTTTTGGGGTTAGTGAGATTGGATTGGAGAGAGAGAGAGAGTTTGGACACTCTTGTGCGCGCTACTTTGAAACTTTGGAAACGCCCAACGAGGAAGACGAGAATTATAGAAAGTAAAACGAAAACCTAATCTGAGTGTTTGGATGCGGTGTTAGTGGAGTTACTCAATTATCCGAATCGGATCCTGCTGAGGATCCGAGTAATGTTCTCCCGTTTCGATGTTTTATTCTTTATTGGGCAAAATCCTTTTTTGATGTTTGGGATCTGATAAAAGGAATTGGGTCCGCTCCGGCCTTAGTGTCCAGAGCCTAAGGATCAATTTATTTGAGTCGCATGAATTTAATTCAACGATCTTCTTTAACTCTTTTTGTTACCATCATACAAAATTAATGGTTTTGATTTCTTTTACATACTAATCAGCAGTCCAAATGATTTGATCCTTAGGCTCCGAACACTAAGGTCCAGAGTAGATCCAATTTCCTGATAAAAGGAAGATTTTATTGTACTATTTAACCTCAAATTATTTGCCACTTAGTACTACGGTTTAGTAGTATTTCTTTTCACTTGTAAGTGAAAGATTTAGGTTCGATTCTCGGTAAAGATGAATTTGAACCACATTATTGCTAATTCATTGTGAGGCTAAGCTCACCCCCTCTCTTAATGTAGGTACTATAGTTTGTTCAAAAAAAAAACATCAAGTCATTTGATATAGTTAGTTATTTTTTTTCTTCATAAAAAATGGATTAACTGGTGCCTCATCACGGTCTTTTGCTTTTTTTGAAGCATGAAAGACTCAAAGGCTTTTAGTCTTCTTTAACCATCATCGAGTGATTTAGTAACTTCGTATTAAAATTCAAAACATCGTATAAAATACGAACTTAAAATTCGTCTGCAATTACTAATCCGGTCCAAATAAAAATCTAAATACTCCACAACACTCTGAACCTAAAATTATCATCCCATCCAAAACTCGAATCCAACCAACGAAACCCGTTGTCGTTTCTCAACAGTCAGTATACCCTCCTCCATACCCACATGACTCTCCCTCTCCCTCTCCCTCTTCCCTCCCCTCAGTCGATCATCTTCTCTTATCCACCCAATCATGACACATTCGATCCTGATATTCTCCAAACAACAGGTAGACACGTATTGACCGACACCCAAAGGTCACGAAGTCATATTAGGATGCATGAGAACTAAAAATAATTAACCAACATAAATAAAACTTGTAAATTTAATTATAATGAATATGCAATTGTGGAACGTGTTTAAAGTATACAACTAATCTGATACCCTAAAAATGAATAATATAAAATTGAATGAACAAGGAGGTGGGATTGTAGGCTGATAAGACTCCAAGATGCCAATGCAGAAGTGTCTTGACGTCGAGAATGTACATCTCGATTCTAAGTCCTGAGGGAGGCACAAAACAAAACATGAGTGGACCAAGTTGATGTATATATAAGTAATGCTAAAACAGTTAATCTTTAACGTACTAACTCCAGGTTTAGAAAACTCATATAACATAATATGTAATATGTTTTTCGAAAACCCCAGCATGCCATAAAATTTCATTAAACATATATCGTATATAATGTGCTTAGTAGTAGCACAAAAGTATACCAGCACGTGCATATCCTGATGTTTGGAGAATATTACGTGTCAAGCCACCTCTGCCGAAGTCCAGTCAAGTTTCCCACTTCTGCAACTCCCCAAAATGCCCCTAAAACATTAGACTAATTACTTCCTCCTCGAACTCTTTTCTTCTCCCGTTGGTTTGGTTCTGGTGAAGGAAGGAGATGATGGGCTCTGAGAACCGGGGCTCCGACGAAGCCCACCTCCACGCGCCGAAAGAAGAAATGGAAAATCTCGTCCTCGACGATCAATCGAACGGCAATAAATCGTACTCGAATTATCGCAGCGCCATGTCGTCGCTCTCCGATACGACACACCCTCTCTCGTCGTCGCCGTCCTCCTCCCAGATCGTATCCGAAGTCCCCGCCACCACCGCCAATACAACGCCACAGGACGACGCCGATCCCCTGTTCGTTCCCGCACCGTACCGCGACCTCCGAAACCCTAGCTCGGCCCCGGACAACACCACTTACATCGACCCGCCTTCTTACGCCGACGTGATCTACAGCCCCTACGATGCCGAAACCGCCGCCGAAATCCACGGCATCGAGAGTCCTGGTAAGAGCTCCGACAACTCGAGCTCGTACTCTCTCTCGCGATCTCCGTCTTCCACATCCGAGTACATCAAAATCACGGTCTCGAATCCGCAGAAGGAGCCGGAAAGCGGGAATTCGATCGTTCCGGGAGCTAACAATTACGTCACGTACCTGATCACGACTCGGACGAACATTCCGGATTTCGGCGGATCGGAATTCGGAGTCCGGCGGCGGTTTCGGGACGTGGTAACGTTATCAGACCGGTTGGCGGAGTCGTACAGAGGGTTCTTTATACCGCCGAGGCCAGACAAGAGCGTGGTGGAGAGTCAGGTGATGCAGAAACAGGAGTTTGTGGAGCAGAGAAGAGTGGCATTGGAGAAGTACTTGAGGCGATTGGCTTCGCACCCGGTGATCAAGAGAAGCGACGAATTGAAGGTGTTTTTGCAGGTGCAGGGGAAGCTACCCCTGGCATTGACCACTGATGTGGCGTCTAGGATGCTTGATGGGGCCGTGAAGCTTCCGAATCAGTTGTTTTCGGAGAGTGCTCCGCCACTGGCGCTTCACGAGGTGGTTCAGCCTGCGAAAGGGGGCAGGGATTTGTTGAGGTTGTTCAAGGAGTTGAAGCAGTCTGTGGCTAATGATTGGGGAGCTTCGAGGCCGCTGGTGGGGGAGGAGGATAAGGAGTTTTTAGAAAAGAAAGAGAAGATGAATGAGCTGGAGCAACATCTCATTCATGCATCTCAGCAGGTAATGTGTACTGAAGTGATCATATCTGTGTGGTTTGAGTGTATGTTTCACTTTAGAGTGATTAATTGCTTTGATTTATAGGCCGAATCACTCGTTAAAGCTCAACAGGACATGGGGGAGACGATGGGAGAGTTAGGACTAGCGTTTATTAAGCTGACCAAGTTTGAGAACGAGGAGGCCTTGTTCAACTCTCAGAGAGTGCGGGCTGCCGACATGAAGAATGTGGCAACTGCTGCAGTCAAAGCCAGCAGATTCTATCGGGAGTTAAATGCTCAAACCGTCAAGCATTTCGTAATTTTGTCACCCTTTTGTTTTTCATTGCATTTTGAATTATAAGATTGGTTTGGTTAGTAATGTTTATGTATGTACTAGGTAGTACATTTTCTTCAGCTGTTTTTCATTGTTACTTTAGAAGGAAACCCATCAATTGTGTTAATGATTGTTCATACTATGCGTATTGCAGGATACATTTCATGAATATCTTGGGCTAATGTTAGCTGTCAATGGTGCATTCTCGGATAGGTCAAGTGCTCTATTGACAGTGCAGACTCTTCTATCAGATCTGGGTTCGCTGCAATCACGGGCTGAAAAACTTGAAGTTCAATCCAATAAAATTTTTGGTGGTGACAAATCAAGGAATCGAAAACTAGAGGAGTTAAATGAAACCATAAGAGCCACTGAGGATGCTAAAAATGTAGCAATCAGAGAATATGAGCGGATCAAGGTACCATTATACTTTTGAAATTATTTTTAATATACTACTGACAACGGTAATCTTTCCAGTTCATGGTAATTAAATATGTTAGTAGTTAAGAAATCTCGTAAACTTTGTACGAACTTTTATGTGAAGGGATTTGCATCCCAAATGCTTGAGTGTCTGGTCCTGCTGCTGCTGCCCCTGTTTTAGATCCACAAGGAGTCATTTCTTTTGTTAAATCACAGGTTTCATGTTTGTTTCCCTGTGTTTCTTCCATCCTATGTGTAACTGTCCCCTTTGTATGCTTTGCATTAGAAAACTTAAAATGTGTCTAGCCTCACTCCTTTCAAGGAATTCACTCACTCTGATTGTAAATGTGATAATCTCGCAGCATTCAAGCTCACAACATTTTTTATGTGCACAATTCACTTAGTTTTTGATGATGATAGTATTTGGCCATTTCGTTCACTAGTTGAGATGGGTTATAAAAAGCTAGGGGAGTGGAGTGTTCCTTATTTGTTTGTGGACTAAGATTATGGCTGTAGAAATTGCATTTACGTAACTTTTAAATCCTTGCATCTCTTGGCTTGCCTCTCTGGTCCTCTAATGTGAGGTCTAGCCAGAGCTTTGCACCTCTATGAGGGCTTAGTTAATCTTGTGTGCCAATTCCATCAAAGCTTGCAAGTTGTGGTAGCCAAACTGGGTGTTTGAGGTGAACATTGATGTTAAGTAGTTTAGGTCTTGGATGTTATTCGTTGTTGCATGTACAGGAAGAAGTATATGCTTATGGAAGCCTGAGTTTCTCTCTTTGAAAACCATGTTTTGGGAACATGAAACTGATCTTTGTGCTATTACACCATGTCATGATGTGTGTGTATTTCAGTTTTTGATCATGAATTTTTGCATCTTTTTTCTCTCTTAAAATTGCCGTTTTCCCGTCTATGATAAAGGCTATTCAAAATTTCTATTGTTTTGAATTCTCTCTTCTAGTAAAACTTGAAATTGTAAACTCGTTTTCCTGTCCAGCTAAAATATCTCTGCTCAATTGTTAGTATCCTCACGAGAACTTAGAATAATTTGATTTTGATGAATGCAGGAAAATAACAGGAGTGAACTTGAAAGACTTGACAATGAGAGGCATGCTGACTTCTTGAACATGTTGAAGGGATTTGTGCATAATCAGGTACTTACTCCTTGCGTTCTTGTTCACCTAGATAGTTATAGCTCTCTAGAAGAGTCCTCATGTAAGCTAATTTCGTTCTTAGGTTTTCAACTGGGTGTTATGAGATGGATAATCTGAAAAATGTTAGACATAATTGCATCTACTAATGGCTTGTCATATGCAAGTCTTCGGTGTAACACGTTGTTCTGTATCATGAACAGGTGGGATACGCTGAAAAGATAGCAAATGTGTGGTCGACTGTTGCAGAGGAGACCCGTTCGTATGCAAAAGAGAGCCCTTGAACCGTGTGTTTGTAAATGAAATTTTCACTCTCTTTCTTTCTTTACATTTTAATTGATACCCACTTCAAAGTAAATTGCATTGCATTCATAAGAATAAAAGGAAAAAAAAAAAATGGAGCACCGGGTAGTTTACAAATTTTACTTTCCGAAAGTTGTATGTATTAGATAGATAATCACACGATTTTAGAGTTGATGCTGTAAATTGCTTGCTACTTGTTCGATGTGTGGAGCTTTTTAATCCATGAGTTTCTGAATGCGAGTCGGTATTCTGCTCCCAACGGTTGTGGCTTCAATTGTTTGTGTGCTCATTTGCTAATTCGTTCGACATGACGTTGTTAGATAATTTTGTGATATGAAACCTAACAAACTTCGTACTCCTTAAGCGGAGGATGTTTATATTGTTGCCATTTTGGTTTTAGTTTTTGGATTGATGTTTGAGCCTAGGATCAAGGATGTGCCCCTTGGATGTTTGGGTTTGCTTGGATAGTTTTCTATGTGTTTTTCCTTCTTAAAACTAGGTGTACGAGTCTGGCTCGGCGCATGACGTCTTGCTTTTAGCGTTATTAAAACCGCGCTTGTATTCCCCTCCCCTCCTCTCCCCTCTCCTCCTCTTCTTTCTCGCTTAGAAAAAATGGGAGGGGAGAGAATCTAGATCCGGGGAGATGCACTTTAGGTTTTAAGTCGGATACTTAAAACCTAAAATCGATGCTCGAATTGATTGACCCTACACTTTCTTTGGTGAAATTTGTTTCAAATGTTGAAGTATAGTTAAGCAAAATAAGTAATCAGTGCTCGTTAAATTTCTGGCTCGTGGAATTAAAAGGAAAAATTCAAATACAAATTGCCAACAAACAAACAAAATAAATTGCAAGTATCTCAAGTAATGAATAATATTCCTGATGTAACCAAAAAAATCTCTTTCTTCTTCTTCTAAGCAAACCCGACCCGATGGAGAGTGATACTGTGTAGCTAAGCGGTATGAACGCCTACGGAATTGCACCTATCACATGCTAGACACGTGACATCATGCTGGCACCCGCCGACGCAAACGAAGGGGCCCCACCTCCGAAAATCGAAGCGATGCCAGAACCCAACGGCTGCGTTTCGTCCAGGAACAGATCCTCAGGATCTCTGAATGCGCCGTGAACACACACGATCCCAACTCCCACCATCCCCGCCGTTAGCAGCAGCGACAGCACGCTCGTCACCAAGATCGCGATGAGCGTCGCCACGCCCAGTCCGAACAGCGCCTGGGTGTTGGAGAACGTGCGGCCAAGGATCACCAGCGGCTGCTCCGACGATCGGCGCGCGTAGAGGAAGATCCACGCTCCGGCGAGGGTGAGGAGGGTGAGGAGGGAGAAGGGGTGGGAGATGAGGGAGTAGGCGAGTACGACTGCGAGTACGATGAGGTAGTTGACGCGGAAGTAGGCGGCGTTCTTGCGGATCCGGGAGGCGGCATCGGTGAGCGAGGTGGGTCTGGTAAAGGCAGTGCGGTCGATGAGCTCGGTCCAGGGGCGGCTGTTGGAGAGCGCGTGGTGGGATACGGCGGAGATGCGCGTGAGGAAGGGGCGGAGGAATCGGAGTGGGTTGGTGCCGGACGGTTGGGTTTGCTGGTGAGAGGACTGTTGGGACGAAACTGGGATCGGGGAAGGCGAGGACATTGGTGTAAATACGATGGCAGTTCGGGGTAATATTGGAAATTTAGAAGAACGGAGAGGACTGAAAAAAGACTCTCACGACTTTTCTTTCTCAGAATCAGAAGAGATAAGAAGAAGAGAGGGCAGTTTTTTTTTGGTGGATTTTGGTAAAAGGGTTGGTTTTATAGGATTTGGGGCGAAGAATCTGTGTCCGTTGATTTAGGGATCGACGGTGGTTATTATATTGGATGGATGATTTGTATGTTTTTGGCATGTGGTTTGCTTTACTAGCTCTATCAGTTAAGGGAAGCAATCCAATAGGATACAACCACGTGGACAGATTAGGCCTTTGATCAGATAAATTTTTAATTGTGACGGGAACATAAGTGGTACATCACATGTTTTAATAGGAGTGATGAGAAATTTTATTTTTTAAGTTATTAATTTTTTAGGACATATATTCTACTATTTGTATAATAATACGTTGTATACCACCTCTTGTATCGATCACATTGAAAAATATCTCCTTTGATCATGAGTACGTTGAGTGGTCCATCATTCGAGCAATAAAATACTATCACAGTGACGTTTTCATAAGTTAGTAACCAAATATGCCTAAATTAAATTTGACATTTTGCGTCGTGTATAGGGTACAATGGTCCCTTCAATCCATTTTATTGGTTTCTGAGTGTACATCCAATATTGGTTTAAAACTGAATGTTACCCTAATTCTAAATTTACTAGCTAAAAGACCCGTAGCACTGAAGCATTTCTTAAAAAGCTTTAAAAAGTTACTACACATAAAACAAAAACAGACTAAATTTGAGTAAGCCGAATTTGGAAGTGCTTTTAGTTTTTGTTATTTTTAAACTGTAAACGTGATTCTTATGAACGCAAAGTGCTTTTTAAAAAAGCACATTCAAACCGACTGCTAGGAGAGCACACAATAAAAGCAAAACCCCATGTTTATTGGAGGCAGATTGTCTACTCTCCTGTTTGGATGACATTTACATCCTTTTCTATTTGTCCGGTCACAGTTAAGCCAGGTCAACATTTTATATTATTATTGCTTTTTGTCCTATTATCTCTATAAAAATTAATATAAAATATTAACGTAATTTAACCGTAACTGTACAAAATAAAAAATGACGGAAATGGCACCTAGACTAAACAGGGAAGACAATCTGCCTCCATGTTTTTTTTACTCCACGTCTTTTCTTTTACATTACCAGCCGTCTGATTTAAGCTTTTGACCAAGGCCGAGACCTCTTTTGTAGGCTTTTACTTTACTTCATTATCCAAAACTAAGTAAAGTCCAATCCTCCAAAAACCCATTCAACCTTCTCCTCTTTCTTATCCATTCTATTTAACCAATTTAAATTTTGCGCTCAGACGTGAACTAAGTTAGTGTTTAAGTACAATGATATTATTAGTAAACTAGATAGTTTGATATTATTAGCAAGTCAGATAGGTAATTGTTAGGAAAAAGAGTAGTGAGAATTCACTTTATTATGCAGAAAATACATAATTATTATTATTATCCACCATTGCAATAAAAAGTCATTCACGTGAGTTAGGTTAGTAGATCAAACTCGTTTTTTTCTCTATGTTTAAGCTTGGATTGCAATCCAACTATTCAGAATTAGAACATGAAATTAGAATAATTCAGAAATACTTTTTTTGTAGGGAATGAAAAATAAGAAAAAGTTTGCAGTTCCAAAATTTAGACAAACGAAAAATGGATAATACTGAACAGATTAAATATGTAAACTAAATTTTATAAAGTAAATGATATGAAAATTAATAATAAAATTATTACTTAAATCATAATTAACGTACATACGTTTTATTAATTTAATTTATAAATTTAATCTAATTAGCATTATCCTATCGTTCAAAAAGTCCAAAGGCAAAAGCCGCCCGACTCTTTCCCCTCTTCGGTCTTCATCCGTTCCCCACCACAAACCGCGTGTTTTCCAGTCACCTTCCACGAACCCCCAAATGATATTATTCAACCGCTTCTGCTTTTAGCTTTTGGATTTTGGCTTACTGCTTATTACCCTAATCGAAATTCTGAAATCCAAAATATTGAAACCAACTTTCGTCTCAATTTCACAACCCTAAAAGTTTGTCTTGACTGAAGCACAAAATCAAGCACTTGGAGGGCACTCTCTGATACTGCAGTACAATGGCTGAGAACGGCGAAGAGAAATTGTTAGCTATGGCGCGCCACATAGCCAAGACTCTGGGCAACAACGATAACATGGCCGACGATATTTTGCAGATTTTTTCCAACTTCGACGGCAGGTTCTCTCGCGAGAAATTGGCTTCCGACGACGAACGCACTCGCAGCTGCGCCGCCCTCGAGCTCTCGCTGAAGTCGCTGGACCGTCGGATCTCGCAGTATGTTGCTGCTGACCACCCAATCTGGGCCTACTCGGCCGATTCCGCGGCGTTTCTTAACTTGATCGACGACCTCATCGCCACCATACGGGACTGGACTCCCATGGCCGACGACAAGTCCGTCGGCGTTTGCCTCGCGCGTGCTGAGGATCTTATGCAGCAGGCCATGTTCCGGCTCGAGGACGAGTTCAGATCCTTGGTCGAACGCGGCGGCGAGTCACGAAAACTCAATCGCGCGTTTCATGGCGAGTCAAATGGCGCGTTGTCGTTTGAGTCGGGAGACGATGAAGAAGAAGAGGATGAGGTAATTGGGGACGGTGAGGAGCACCAGATCCCTACTGCTCAGCCGATCGGCGACTACGACATCGTGATCGATGCGCTGCCTTCTGGAACCATCAACGACCTCCATGAGATTGCTAAGCGGATGGTGGCGGCGGGGTTCGGAAAGGAGTGCTCGCACGTGTACAGCAGCTGCCGGAGAGAGTTCCTGGAAGAGAGCATGTCGAGGCTAGGCTTGCAGAAGCTGAGCATCGAAGAGGTTCAGAAGACGCCATGGCAGGACCTTGAGGACGAAATCGAGCGGTGGATCAAATCCTCAAACGTCGCGCTTCGGATTCTGTTCCCGAGCGAGCGTAGACTCTGCGATCGCATCTTCTACGGCCTCTCCTCCGCCGCAGACCTCTCTTTCATGGAGGTTTGCCGGGGCTCGACGATTCAGATACTGAACTTCGCCGACGCGGTAGCAATCGGAAGCCGATCGCCGGAGCGATTGTTCAGGATTCTCGACGTGTTCGAGACTCTGCGGGATTTGATGCCTGAATTCGAGTTAGTGTTTTCGGATCAGTACTGTTTGTTTCTCAGGAACGAAGCGAATACGATTTGGAAAAGGTTAGGGGAAGCGATCAGAGGCATTTTCATGGAGTTGGAGAATCTGATCAGTCGCGACCCTCCGAAAACTCCAGTTCCTGGCGGCGGGTTGCATCCGATCACTCGATATGTGATGAATTATCTCCGTGCAGCATGCCGATCGCGCCAGACCCTCGAGCAGGTTTTCGAGGACAGTGCTGCGGTCTCTCATCAGCCCAAGGTTGATGATCGAGCTTCGTCTTCGCCCATGTCGGTGCAAATGGCGTGGATTATGGAGCTTCTGGAGAGCAATTTGGAAGCCAAGTCGAAGATTTATGGGGACTCTGCGTTGTGCTGTGTTTTCATGATGAACAATGGGAGGTACATTGTGCAGAAAGTGAAGGACAGTGAGTTGGGATCGCTTTTGGGCGATGATTGGATCCGAAAACACACTGCGAAAATCCGACAGTACCTTGTGAATTACCAGAGAAGCTCATGGAACAGGGTGCTTGGAGTGTTGAAGCCCGAGAGTGGCTCATTGTCGCCAAGTGCTGCTGTGAAGTCCATGAAAGAGAAGCTCAAGTTGTTCAACATCTACTTCGAAGAGATCTGTAAAACGCAGTCCAATTGGGTAGTTTTTGACGATCAACTCAGAGATGATTTGAGAATTTCGCTTGTCAAAATCTTGTTGCCAGCGTATCAGAGCTTCATCGGGAGGTTTCAGAATGTTCCCGAAATCGGGCGGCATAAGTACATTAAGTATACTAGTGAGGACATTGATGCTAAGATCAATGGCTTGTTCCGCGGCAGCAGAGGATCCGCCGGCACTGGTGGTGGCCGGAAGTGAAGAAGCTAAAGCTGCACGGGATGATTTGTCTTGTATGTAGTCGAAAAGAAATTCACAGAAAGTTTTGTTTATGAATTGAAAGCTTTGTAATGTAGATGTTTGTTTCTGTTTAATACAGTGTTATTTTTTGTTCCCTCTTTTTTTAGCTTTTGTGAATGGAAGCCTTGTTTTAGTACTTTGATTAGAGCAGCTCCAGCGTGTGCTGGAGCCGGAGGGACAAGCGAGTGAACAGGGCCAGAGAGCCCGAGCAATCAAGTCCAGCATGTGCTGGCAAGGGAGCCCGAGCGAGAGGCCGGTGGAGAGTTGCCAGCCTGAGAGTCAGGAGTGGGTTTGACGCAAGGCTGACGTCGCCCTGACGTCAGCCATGTTTTTTCTTCTATTTTGCCTTGGCGTCCGTTGGATCTCAACCCACAAATTTGCCGGACTTCGCTTCGAGGACGGACCAAAAACTGGGCAAGGTTTTAGAGAAATTGCAGGGAGTTAAACCTCTGGTTCCGAACTGGAAAAATACCACAAATCTTGTCCCAAACAACATTAAGACATAATGAAACAAGATTTGCATAGAGAACCTCGCTTGGGTTCGAGTTTCAGATCTTGAAGCTCTCGGCTTCAATGGTGGTTTACACCATGATGGTCCGATGATGCATGCAACGGTATAGCAAGGATCCTTTAGTCCTAGAGATTAAGGTTTCATGGTTTTGGAGTTTGATTTGTTTAATTTTTGAAGAGGAAAGTGGGTGAGAGCTCTCAGAGCTCTAGAGAGAGTGAGAGTGTAGAGAGAGAGAGAGAGAGAGAGAGAGAGAGAGAGAGAGAGAGAGAGTGAGGAACTTCAGAGAAAAATGGGAGAGAGAGGGAGTGAGGTGCACGGGAAAGAGAGGAGTGACGTGAGGGAGTGGGAGGGAGTGCACAAAATATTATTATTTTATTTACCTGTTGACAGGACTATTTAAGTGTAGGGGTGGAGATACCAAAGGCAATTACTGTTCATTAAGGGTAATTATTGTTCACTAGGTGAATTAAATAGTGGATTGCTTGGGGGGGGGAGAGCTCCTATGTTGAAGTTGCTCTTAGAAACCATCTGTGGTAACTC